TTTGGCAGTCTTATTTCAAAAGGTATCTTTCATAGATTTGTACAGAAATATTCCATAACAGTGGCTATGAAGAAGAGGAACTTGGGTCTATGTTATGTTACCTGGAAGGGATGCAACAAACAGGTCATATTAGATCCTCTTACAATTACTTCCTGGAAACACCTACATTCATACTTCTGTACCCTCTAGTTACCATAGGAAAGCAGTTTAGCAGCCAAGCAGTTAAGGCTTTATGGCATCTTTTCCGTTCTGAGAAAGTTCAAAAATTTAGACTAATTCTACTTTGTATCAAACATAATGAAACAAAATATGCACAGCTTGCATACTATTTATGTATACGTGCATACACATAAATGTACACATATGTAGTGTTTTTATATATCTTCAGTATCAGCATATTAGTAAGAGACATTTATATTTAGAATATAGAATTGTTCTTTGTGGCCAAAGATACTGAGAGCAGTTATTGTGATGATTAGAAATGTTAGGCTGAGCAGTATTTGTACAAAATTTCACTTTCTATTGTCTAAATTTGATTGATTATAAAGACCTTGGTGGCAGCTATTCGTTATTTTTCATTAGACTAAGGTGAAACATGAACAAAATATATGTGTAGTCGTGAAAAGGAAGGGTGAGCTAAGCAGTTATTAGTGCACGAAGAAAAGTGGCTCTGGGTCAAAGATTTTATCCTTCATTAAGGAATTTTTTCCTAAGCTCAGTATCTACCCCATCACAAAATGAACAAAGGATGAGCTTAATGATAGTCATCTATCAGCTCACCACATTTTAAGTTTCAAGATCCTGCTATTCCCAATGCTTCATGCCTTGACAAGGCTAATTGCATAATTACAATACTATATCACCCACTCCTGGTACACGTTCACTGGCAAGGACCAGAACTGGGAACCCCGATGATTATCGCCCCAAGCAAGTACATTAACATGAGTACAGTTTGCTAATGGGGCTGCTCTATTAGAAATTGTAGTACATAAGGTTTAAGCCAAAGATTTTGTTATGAAGTCCCTTGTAGATTAAATGCCCGATTGAGTTGAGCTATA